CTCGATTCCTCTCCTTTTCTCCAGCCAGAACAAGTCCTTCTCTCTCAGCCTCTGTTTCACATCCTTCAGTCCTCTCCCTCTCGATTTCTCTCTTTTTATCTAGCTAGAACAGCTCCTTCTCTCTCAGCCTATGTTTTTTTTCCTTCGATCCTCTCCCTCTCGATTTCTGTCCTTGCCTTGACTATCTCTCTCATTTTTTCCCTCGGTCCTCTCATCCGTTCCCTCCTTCTTTCAGTCCTTCATCCCTTTTAAAGTAGAAATAGGGAAGAGCTTGCTTGTGAAGAGAGAGTTTACGTGCTTTCTTGCTCTGCTATGCTGTGTGCATGTTTCTGAATTTTTTTCTGCATTTTTCTATACTCATTTTCAGCTGACACATGAGTGCTGCATTTTTGGTTTATTTCTTCCTACTTTTCCCTGCTGTTCTATCTACTTTCTCTTGCTTCTTCTGTGCCTGGCTGAAAAAGTGTGTGTGTGTACGTATGTTTCGTGTGTTTTGATGCTGCGTGTATTTGTTTCTTTTTTTTTCAGCTATTCTCTAATGCCTTTTTTATTAATTAGATTGTGAGAGAGAAAGAAAAGTCTAATTTTAAAACATGTATTTTTAAATAAAAAATAAAAGATTTAAGGAGAGGAATTTAAAAATAGTTGAGTCTCAAAAAAATTAATTTTCAATGTCTTTAAATGGTTGAGATAATTTGAGAGAGATTTTAAAAAATTTAAGCAAGATTTTTTGATTTTGTTAAATTTTTTGAAAATAAAATCCTAAAAAAGGATTAAATTTTATTTTTATATTTTTTATATTTTTAAATTATTTATTATTAAATTTAAAAAATGTCCAGATAAAATACGGTGTTCACAACATATCTATAAACTAACATGTTATTACACTAATGACATTAGTGCGAACCTATATTTATTTATATGTATTTATAACTAAATATAATATACAATTTATAAGAAGCCATGAGATTAATAAGTTATAAATAATATGAATTATTTTTTGGATTCCATATGCATGAATCCTGCATCTAATTCAAGTACATAAATGATGACAAGTCAAAGGATTTGGCAACTTATATATTATTTAAAGTTTGCCGGCCGCACATCATTACTTTATTTTACATTGCATGTAAGGATTTATGTCAAAATTTGTGATGACTATTTATTCAAAATTTTATTTTAAACGTGTTATTTAACTTCTCAAAAATTAGTCGTGATTGAAAGTGATAAACCAAATAAAATTTAGCTGTAAAATATTATATGTAATACTAGATTCCTTATTTTTTGTGAAACAAAATGCAAAATAAAAGAAATGACTTGTGAAGTAACGCGGATACGATCTCTCTGTGCTTCTCGTATTTTGTATTAATTGATGATAAGATGGGAACAAATCATTGGGAACGGAACTTGATCTCTGACATGCATCTGACAATTGTACATGGCTATTAATTATATGAAGATGATGGAAATAAATAAGGCTTGGCCAAGCAATTTGATATAATTATATCATTATTTACATTTCCAGTTCATCTAAATAAATTCAATAAAAATTAAATTTTTGTTGTGGATAAATTTCATTTTTCTTTGTTAGCATATATACTGTAGAACATTTGGAAGGTAAACAAAAATATGGGAATAAGAAAATAAAACCACATATATATATTTAGAGTGAGAGAGAGAGAGAGCCATTTTAGTTTGATATATGTAGTGTACACACACATACATACAGAAGATCATTGAAATTTGAGTTAAAAACATGTGCATGTGCTTTAGTTTAGGAATTGATGGAAGTCATGTTATTTCTAGGCTAATAACAAAAATCCGTGCTATGACGCTAGCCTCACTCATGCTCATCACACATATTTATAGCACCATATCATTCTTAAATAATCTAACACTTTAAATTATGCCATGGTTGAAGCCTCTACTTATAGAGGGCGAATGGCAAGTTGTTGTTAGTTTGACAATTGTTTCTTCCACGTGGCCCTGAAAGGGTAATAAACAACTTGTTCCCTTCATCAAAAACATCTGCCAAAAACTCCATTGAAAAAAAAAAAAAAAGAGTCATCCTTATTAGAACTCTTCCTTCACCAATATTTGCATCACACACAAGTATGTATAAATTTTTTGTAGAATGTTTTTCAAAACATGTGTAAGAGATTTGCAAGAAAAGAAGATAACTTGTAACAACTTAATATACATAGACTAACGTTGGACTCACCTTTGGTATTTCATTGATTTGATAAGACTGTGCAATTTTTGTGGGCATTGAAGCTTTCTTAGAAGTCATACTAAGCACTTCTATTTTGCTTGTGTAAATGATTTTGATCATATGTACAGTGTGTGTTGAAACGCTGTGCTTGAATTCTTGTATATATAGTTGAAGGTAAGAGGATCGGAGAAAAACATGAGACGTGATTTTCAATAAAGAGATGGTGGTTTTAAAAAGAAATTAAAGAAATTCTAGACTAAATTTTATTAATTCTGTGTGCCATGCTATTGATTTTATGAAATCCATGGATAAAATTTTGTCAATTTTGTGCGCTATGCTGTTAAGTTTATAAAATTCTTGAGCAAATTTTGTCATTTCTTTATGATTTGTTGCTAAGTTTATGAAATATGCGGATAAAATTCTATCAATTATTTTGTGTGCTGTTGAATTATGGGTACAGAAACACTTCAGTTTAAACTAATTAAAAGACACACAATATAAAAACAAAGTGATTAAAAGTGACAAGTAATTAATTCCTCATGTACATATATTATATGAGAAATTAATTAGCATGCAAAAATGTGAGAAATTACTTACAATAGTGATTATTATAATAAATTTTGTATAAGATTGTAACTAAAATTATCTTACTATGCCGATGAATAAGCAAAAGACTATGATAAATTTAAAATTAGTATATGTAAAATTTATTCATAAAATATACATAAAAATGATTCATCTGATGAGATTTAGTTGTCACATTTTCTCTGATATTAATGTGTTTCAAATAAATACATGGATGGGTGAATATAGTTAAGCATTTTTGGAATAAAATAAATATGTTTATATGGGATATTATATAAGATAAGGTAAACAATACCTAGGAATTTGTTTGCACCCAAAACCATAGCATTTGTTTAATCTTTCAAACCAACAAGTATGGAAATATATAAATAATAACAAAAGAAAAAGAAAAAGAAATGGTAAACAACATGCAAAATTTGTCCTAAAACCAGAACCAAATCTTCTATTTTGCCCTTGGAACAACAGACACGGATAAAATATAAACCGCACACACAAAGGTAAGGTAAGGTAAGGTAAACAATAACTCATGGAGAATTTTCTGTCTAAAATAAACAACACATAAAGGTGAGATCATATAAATATTAAACATATATTTATCATGATAAAACTTTATATATGTGTGATTGTGTTTTTTATTGTAAAAAATTGGACCCCTCTAATCCTGGATCCGTCACAACCCAAACGCTTGATTTTATCCTTTTTAACAAAAGACACCCATAAAATAAAAATCAGATACGCACAAAATTTGCACTGAAGGTCATGTTTTATCTTTTATAAACAACACACATAATACAAGTTTAAACCAGAACTGATATCTTGGTTTATATTTTCATCCTTGGAAGCAACATTCAAAATTTACCAAACTAGATACTTTATCCTCTGAAACAAACACGCAAATAAAATAAAAACCACACATAACAAGAATTTGTCTCGAAATTCTTAATATACCTTTTTAAAGCTCATTGAAATTATTTTCATGTATATATTCACTAATTTGTAGCACGTAATCATCATAAACTTGCATCTTTAGGTCTTCCCAGCTTCCTCACCTAGGCAAGTTTAATTTTTCAGCTTACATAATATGGACCTCACTATTGAGCAGCCATGAGATATACATTGCAACAGACACTCCTATCACAATATGACAGCGAAGTATCTATATGCTTCTTATGTTATTGAGAAAAATGATTTTATACTCAAGATTAACCCTTTAATTTGTATTATTGGAAGTATAAATTAAATATGGTGGTTTTAAAATGTACCAATCCAATATTAATATTGTAAAATGTTATTATGCACCAAATCAAATAAGTTATAAAACAAATAATTAAGGTGATTTGTATGTATTATTATCCAGTCGAACTTATATAAGATTACCTCTCTGTATAATGGAGATTGAAATGGTAATGTTATGTCACGGTTAACAAGTAGCAAATATAGAAGAAAATACTGCTGATATTATCAAAAGAAGGAAATGATTCAACAATCACGACGTAATCTATACAAAAAGCATAACGGAAACGATATTAGCAGAAAGAAATGCAGAACAGCTGCCCAGGAAGAGAGAGAATGTCAGATAAGAAGCTTCAATCAATTCATCCACACCCTCTTCGTTATTACGTCCCCTTATATATCCTCGTCACCTCCAAGAGCCTTCAACTTTCCAGTTGGAAGACGCACACGTTTGCTCTTTCGTAAGCCCAATGTTTCTTGGCCCAAATCCACAACAGCACCTTTACCAAACAATTATTGTAAAATCCAAAATCACTTTATCAGCATGCACCGGATCAAATATGCTAATAACAAATAAAAGTATATATACCAAGTAATTAATTTGTTTGTCTTATGCTTATGCTTGTCTATCTAATATCAGAAAAGATGCTTTCATATTTAGCCTTATGAGAAAAATAGTGTAATTTATTTGAAACCAATATATTAGGAGGCAATACTAGAGCGGGTTAAGAGGTGTTTCAGTGGGTTCTAATTGTGAATTTTAACCGCTGGAAGCACTCAAAGCTAATCTTGGCTCTTGGGATGCGCTAATTGGACCCCCAACGGCATTAATTTCATCTAATATCTATTTTAAAATTTCTTTCCGCATCAACTTAAATTCACGTGATTTGATCAACAGCCCCTATATAGAGTCACTAATCTAAATTATCAGTCTTCTTGTGAGTATCATAGAGTAAATTAAAGATTATCAATGGGCGGTTTCAGTGAGAATGAAGAGGCTTTGATCAGAATCTCGTGGGAGGAATTGATGCAAAACTTTCCCCATATTAGTCTTCGTTTCTTCACTTCGTAATCAATTTTTTTTTTTTTAATAATTTGCACGTACATATCCCTTTCATCTGTCTCTCTGTACTCTATTTTCCTCGAATACTCGTCCTAATAAGCAATCCTTTTTCACCCTTTTTTAACTTTCTGGTTTGACATAGGATAGTGGAGATTGCGCCTGAAGCGAAAGACATGTTCTCCTTTTTAAGGGATGCGGATGAAATTCCTCAGAATAATCCTCTGCTGAGAGGCCATGCTATGAAGGTTTTCAAGCTGGTATGCTCATAAGAATATAAAGAATTAGACAAAAAGAAATCTAGTGATAGCGAGCAGGACCTGCATGAGATGAAACACTAATATCCTAATTCATTCTCAATATTTGCGCGCGCGCGCGCGTATGTAATGAGAAGGAAAAGATACTCTGTAAATATAAAATATTTATGAATGACCAGAATACAGGACCAAGAAAATATATATAATGAAATGAATCTTTGTATACTTTAAAGCCACAACATCCTCAAAAATCAACACTACTGTATATATATATATATATATATATATATCTTTCATAATAGCATATTGTACTTTTGCATAATATGTAATTTTGATTCATGGAATTCAGACTTATGAATCAGCAATGCAACTTCGAGAGAAAGGAGAGGTGGTGGTAGAAGATACTTTATTGAAGTATTTGAGCTCTGTCCACATCAAGAATGGAATCCTTGATACCCATTTTGAGGTAACACATATTTAAATCAAAGTCAAAACTGCATCTTTACCTTCTACTTTTAAAGAGACTCCCTCTTAAATTTACGGCTTGCAATCAATCTCCCATTTTCTATATGTGAAATTTACAAATGATTTATATATAGATTATTCACTTATTGAACTCAATCTAAATTTAACAGACTAAAAGGATGACGTGGATGCTATAATACTAACTATGCTAGAAAAATATAATGAAGCTTTAATTTTTGGCATATTCGAACATTCATTATCATGTATATATATTGGAGTTAGTTAATGAAATCAAGGTACGTACCGTGATTGTAAACATTGTTAGGTGCTGAAAGAAGCACTGCTGAAAACAATCAAGGAGGCAATGGGAGATAGATGGAGCGAGGATGTGAATCGTGTGTGGGCTGCAGCGTATGATGGGTTGGCAACCGCAGTAAAACAGGAGATGAAAGAAAGTATTGATGGAGTCCTCCAGATTCTCTGAAGTTCTTTTTTTTTTTTATTGCATTATATATATAGCAGAATAATCAGCCTGTATTTGGTACATCATATATATTTAATGTAATCACCTTAAACGACACGAAATTATATTCTTTTTCCCTCGTTTATCATAAGTTTCTCGTACAAAAACAGTTACTGGGGATTGAGTTTGATTACGTGCACTGGCACCTTGTTCGAATCAATTTGAGCTCTGTTTACACTTTTATTTTGCAATACTTAACTTCATTTCTGATCACCCATTGACCCCGTCCAGGTAAGTATTCTTAACTTCATTTCTATTATGCATCCGAAGGGTCAAAAGTTAAAGAGGGTTGATGTACTGTTATAATTCCAAAAACGTCAGAAACAAAACAGGGAACGATTTTGCCTCTTCGAGTCTAACAGGTTCCATTCAATATTGAGATTAAGATCTTAATTAGTCCTCCTACAAATTGCTACAGGTTCACCTTCGAAAGATCCAAACATGCCCCTACATACCATTATCAATTAGGTAAGAAAAAAAGACTCAGCCAACATTAATTAAAAAATATGTATATATGGCTCTAACTCTCCATCCGATTTGTCTCTGTCGCAATGCGAGGGATGAATTTGCCCAAAATATTCTTGGACCTATATGCTTCAATTCTCACCATGGAATGAATCGGTATATATTCAGCATATATAACGAAGGAATGACGTCATACCGTTTCCGCTACATGATGATCCTCAACATCTGCATGAATCATCGAAGAGGTTTACATAGTAATTTACCTAAACCACGAACTACTGATGACACGAATCATACATGCGCGCGCGCTCAAAAGTATTGAATTTCTACAATTTCTCAAAGCAAACACCTTGTCTTTGCTCCGGAACAATCATTAAGTGTTAAGGTTAAGGCACATGGACTAATTTATTAATGTGAATATTAACATATATTACCCACATTTAACCCTTTGAGAGAGAGAGAGAGAGAGAGAGAGAGAGAGATTAGGAAAAACGAGATAAATAGAATAGAAAGATAGTACGTGAAAAGAAAATGTATAAGAGACAGATATTTTTATCATAAATAAAGTATAAAGGTATAGCAAAAATAAAGATGTTAATCAAACTTTGGATTTCTAAGATCACAAAAGTTTAAAAACAAAAAAAAAATAATATGGAATGGAGGGAGTCATTAATTCAACATGTTTTTATGTATTATATAAATTTTAATTTGAGTCGTAATATACATCAATATAACTTATTATTGATTTTTTTATATTTTAATTATTTATTCTATAACATAACATTTAATTAGTTTGAGAAAATTATAAAGAGGCAATGCACGAGGTTTTGATTCCAACGTTTGGTGAAAAGCCAATGTTGGCTGTTCCATGGCCCTGAATGTCCAACGTGTATTTTAAAATTTCTTTCCATTTAGCTTCATTCAAACAATCTGATATATTTAGCTTTCATAATTACAAGCCCCAATGAAGAGTCATTTATCACAACCGCACGTACTGTGTTGAGAATATTATCATCAAGCAAATTAAAATCATCAGATCATGAGTGGTTTCGGTGAGAGAGAAGAGGCTCTGGTCAGAAGCTCATGGGATCAATTAATGCAAAACATTCCCCATTACAGTATTCGTTTCTTCACCTCGTAATATATAGCCTCGTGGCTCCTTCTCATATCTTAATTTTCTCTGACATATTTGAGAATGAACTCATACACACACACACATGTACACACAAAATCTTGTTCTTTGTATTTTTTTTTTTTTTGCATCCTTAATCTTTGATTCAATATATAGGATAGTGGAAATTGCACCTGTAGCCAAAGACATGTTCTCCTTTTTGAGAGATTCAGATGAAATTCCCCAGAATAATCCTCTGCTGCAGGCTCATGCTGCGAAGGTTTTCAAGATGGTAAGTTCATAGAAAGAACAAACAATTTACTCATATATACGTACCTTCATCTTGATCTTCCCCGATATGAAACTTTAAAGCTACAGATTTTAAGACAAAATGTTCATACTTTTATTCAGAGTACGTGACAAATCATAATTTTGAATGAATGTTGTGAGTTTTAGACTTATGAATCAGCAACTCAACTTCGAGAGAAAGGAGAGGTGGTGATAGAAGATACTACCTTGAAGCATTTGGGTTTTGTCCATGTCAAGAAAGGAGTCCTTGAGCCCCACTTTGAGGTAATGTATCCAAAATATATATGAATATATAGTTGAAACTTCATTGTTTATGCATGCGAGCTATAATTAATGAATGAAATTATCAATAACGTAATTGCAATGCTTGAATTAGGTGCTTAAAGGTGCATTGCTAAAAACTATCAAGGAAGCCACGAGAGAAAAATGGAGTGAGGACATGAATAATGCTTGGGGTACGGCATATGATGAGCTGGCGACTGCGATAAAAAAGGAGATGACTTTCAACGTTGAGGGAGTCGAATTTCTCTTACAGCCCGAAATTTAAAGGATACATATAAAATTTAGATAGATAGACTCATGTAATTCAAATTCAAAATAAAATAAACAGAAAGAGAGAAAGAAATGGAAACTTCTGTGTATGGGGTCTTTATTGCAAAATAGAAGTGAGTTCCAGCGTTTGGCTGCACTACTTGATGAGTATCTACTTGGGCGATTCAGATTTTAAGGTTTTATTATTATATTTGTTATAAAAATATAAAATTTTAATAAATTTATTTTATCATCAATCTAGGCAATACAAATTTAATTTGAATGGTCAAGTTTAATACTAAAATTTTTTTATAATTTTTTATATTCAAATGTGTTTTAGATAGTTTGGATTTAATATTAAACTATTTCAGAATTTTTATTATAGTAAATACAATATTTAAAAATAAAAATAAAGACAATCTTTAAATTGGAACTTTAAAAAATTAAGAAAAAGTTGCAACTTGAAAATTTTAAATCTAGACTATTTAGAGTATATATGAATAATCAATTTATAAAAATTATAAAAGTATTCAATATTAAATTAGATCGTTTAAATTAAATTTGCATTATTCATATTGATGATAGAGTAGATTTATTATTATTTATAATTTTTATTTTAATAAATATAAAATAAAATATAAAAATAAAACATATAAATTTGGACCGTGTTGATTAAAAATTTGAATAGTCTAAATTGCTCACAATGTAATGAGCACCGAGACTGGATGCCTTTCATCTCTCTATGCATGTGTGTGTGTTTTATTTTTGAGAGAAAGTTTAGATAAGTTGAATCTTAATAATTTACCAAAACTAAAACATGTTTTCAAATTCAAGTAGTATTTATAAAACCCTCACCAACAAGATATTTACATTAATAGCAAGATTTTAACAATTATTACTGTTATGCATACTGGGTTAGGTTTGACTTGTTTAACCCATATTAAATTTTTTTAAAAAAGAGAAAAATTTTGTAGACATGAATCATATTAGGTATGTCTTATTTAGCTAGATCAATTTATATATTTTATATAAAAATTATAAATTAATATTTTGATATATTTAGAATGAATCATGAAGGAATATTGAATTGAAACTTATTATTTAGATGTATTTTTTTAAATTCATAAAAAATAAATTTAAAAATAAATAAACAGATTAGCGGGTTAGCCCATTTAACCTACATAGCCTTCAAGAGTTGGGTTAGGTTAAAATTTTTTTAATTCATATAAAAATAAATTAAACTCAATCCAACCCACAGCTCATATGACTTGGATTGTCTCACATTCTCACCCTAATCAAAGGTTACACAATACTGTGATTTTTCTTGGTCCCTTCCCCTCTTTTTTCTTTTTTATGTTTTTAGTTATGTTATACTCTCTCTGATCTCATTTATAAATCACATTCTAAAAGGTTTATTTGGTTCTATTTATAAGTCATGGTGCGTCTTTTTAGATAATATTTAAAAAGTATTTTTAAAATTACCCTTCATGAGAGAGAAAATGTAACAGGACATTACTTTTTAAATTTATTATATAAGAATATGTTTAAAATTTTATTTACTTTTATTCCTTATACTTTATTGTATTAATATTGAAGAGGTTGGTAGAAATAATTTATAAATAAGATTGGATAATATATTACTTCTTTTTCCAAAAAAAAAAGAAAACACAGCGAGAGAGGTCTTATACTAATATTCTCCTGAAAATTAATGATTAATCATGCGCATGCTTATTTAACACGTGCTCCAGCTGGTTTTTTTTGTCCTTTCTAAAACAAAGCCATTCGTGATTCTTCAATTATCGCCCAAATTGCCAAACAAAAAAACAAAGCAGCCTGTCCCAAAACGAAGTGGATGTGACTTGTCACTTGTCGGCCCTTCATCCCCCTGCAACCCTACAAAGCTCAACGGAAGGAACGAAGATGAATTGTACCCAAAAAAAAGGGTGTGATGAACAATATCCATGAATAATTATGACTGAAAATTACAACGGCATAATCTTTCAGTTAAAGAATTTATAACCACATTTTATCTTTTTATTAAAGGATGAAATAAAATACAAATCCCCAAACTATGAAGACTAAGATGAGAGATTGCAATTAGAGCCTATTTGTTTTTCGTTTCTAAAAATTATTTTTTTGTTTTTAAAAACAAAAAAAAGATAAAAAAATTGTTTGAATCAGTGTTTTTCATTTTAGTTGTTTTTAAAATTATTTTCATTTTTTATTTTTTAAAAAAAAATAAAAACAGCTTTAGGTTGTTTTGTTTTATTTTTTTTATTTTTAAAATACACTACATTTAATTATTAAAAAATATAATTACTTTAACTAATTTCTATTATTAATCTTCATCATTAACTACTTATAATTATTATTATTAATTTATTTTTTTAATTTTAAAATTATTTTTTAATTAAAATAACCGCACGAAGTTTTACTTTATTTTGTTTTAAAAAAATTTAAAAATTGTATTACAAAATAATTTTTAAAAATAAAAAATAAGAACATAAATCAAACAAGCTCTTGATTTCCTTACTTATACAATGATATGTGACTCTAGAGCTATACAAACGGGTTACAAGCTAGCTTATATATGTTAGCATTTTAGCTGGTTGGGTTGGGTTTGTCCGCTAAGATAAACGGGTTAGGAAAACCCAACCCAACCTGTTAGCCTGCAAAATATAATTTTATTTTTTAAATGATTTAAAATTTGTAATCAACATATCATTTATATAAACAATAATTTTTTTCATATTATTTTTTAAAATAAAATTTAAATATAAACCTATATTATTTTTCTCAATACATTTATATTTCTAATTTCAATCAATAGATCCTATAAGGTTAACAAATAATATATATTCAAAATATTTTTATAAAAATTAATAAATAATTAATTTATAAACTATAATAAAAATTGCATTTGTAAATTGTAAGAAATATTTACATTATCTTTCAAATGTAAAGAGCATATTTGGGACTTATAAATTATAGATTTAAAAAATATTATTATTATTGTAGATTTATAAAAAGATATATTATAATTAAAAATAAACTATTTTTTTAAAAATAAGTTAGCCCGTTTTAACTTATCATTTTTGCAGGTTGGGCTAGTCCAATCCATTTTAAAAAATGAGCGAATTCTTTCAACCCAATTCATTAAAATTGATAGGTTGAATGACCTAGCTTGCAAGCTCAACCTATTTGCTAACTCTATGTGATCCTTTCAACCTAGAGCTAATTTATCATGTTTTGAATTCAAATGTAGGAATACCAACTAACTAGGTGGTTAAACGTTAATTATATCCTAATGCCTCCCTTCCTTTCCATGCTCATCACCTACGTGGGATCTTCATTGAATTAATTACTCTTTTCAAAATATAAGTCATTTTTTAAACTAATCTTCATCAAAATTATAAACAACATAATATTTATAGAATTCTTTTTATTTTTACTCATTGTATTTGTTAACATGAATTCTTATATTTATTATGATTTATGACAGTCTTCTCATTCATTGATCATAAATTGAGATTAAAAATAAAAATGGAAAACAATATTTTTTTTATGAGAATAATGATGTTATTAGCATACGCATTATTGATAAAAATCTACTTCTTCTTGTTTTTTTCTTTTGTTTTTTTTTTTTTTGGGATAGGAGGGAGTATAAATTATGTGCTAGGATATGTTTGATATTAGATGATGGAATGAAATGGAAGTATGACGAGGTGAAATTAAACAGAACAATTCATTATTTAAAAGTTTTATTGAAAAAATGAAGGGTTATATTGAATCATTATTTAATAATAATTATAAAATTAATACATTGGAACTAATTATAATTATGATTCTAATTTTTAACCTTAGAAGGAGAGAAAGACAGAAAGCGAGTGAGTAAGAAGGCTAGAAAGGATATAATAATTTTATAATAATATTATTTATAATAATAAGGACCAGCGAGAGTATTGATATAATTATAAATCATAAATTATAATAAATTCTCTGATCACTCCACGTTTGTTGTTACTATCGCGCAATATTTTTATTCCAAAACTCTTGTGGCTGCAACGCAATCGTTCGACGATTTCTTCCCGCCGCTCCTGTCCTCCATCTTTCTCTGCCCATTGCCAACTCCAATGGCGGAAACCACAATCCGATTTGGCATCCTCGGCTGTGCTGACATCGCCCGCAAGCTCTCGCGTGCCATCACTCTCGCCCCCAACGCTACCCTCTACGCCGTCGCCAGCCGCTCCGTCGACAAAGCCACCGCCTTCGCTTCTGCCAACGGCTTCCCCCCGGGCTCTAAGATTTACGGCTCCTACGAAGCTCTCCTTGACGACCCCGACGTCGACGTCGTCTATGTCCCGCTTCCTTCTAGCTTGCACCTGCACTGGGCCGTCCTCGTCGCTCAGAAGAAGAAGCATTTGCTGCTCGAGAAGCCCGTGGCTCTCAACGCCGCTGAGTTCGATAAAATCATCGACGCCTGTGAATCCAATGGGGTGCAGCTCATGGATGGCACCATGTGGATGCACCATCCCAGGACCACTAAAATGGCCGAGTTTTTGTCCGACGAGCGCCGTTTTGGTCGACTCCAAAAAGTACGTAACTTTGATTGACACTCTCTGCTCTTTTCTGATTTATTGTTCCTATTTTGCTTGAGACTTCATTTCTATACGCTCATCGGTTTTGTTTTGCTTTTGTTTTTGTTTTTTTGTTTTGTTTTGGCTAACTGTTTCAATCGCTGTTGCCCGTTGGCATTTGATGAAGGTCTAGCTTGGAAATAACTTAGCTTGGAATTAACTTCTTAGTCGGGTCATTGTTTATTATTATTTTTGAAAAGCTTAGGAACATAAAAAGGCGTGACAAGATCTCTCGATTAGATTAAAGTCATAATATAACACTCGACGGGATGTCCGGTAACCCATCTTTTTTTTTTTTTTAATTTGTGATTTCCGGATAAGATATGATGGGACCGGCGAGATCTTTAGATTGTTTATTGTCTTTTACCTCAACTAATTCGTAGGTACGGCGTCAAGATTACTAGGATGATTAACTATACAACACGGAGGTTGTATATTTTCACGGGGATTGGGTCCATGACTTGAAACTATACAGTTAAATTGGGGTAAACAAAAATACTGGGGCTGAATTTACAGATAACCTTCAGTTTCTTTCACATCACACGTTAATTTGGTTTGACCAAGTTTTCTTTTTTTTTTTTTTTTGGTCAGATGATTTGACCAAGTATATAGTAGTTGTTTAGGTCCTGTGAAAAACCTTTTTTTCTCTTCATTCGATGCAGGGCTCTTTTTCCTCTGGCATCAAAGATCTTTTTCCATGCACCCGAGCTCAAACGTTACACATTGCTTTTTGCCGTGCCTTCTTGTCTTATTTTACATGTTTTATTTCATCCTCCGTCCCAACAGGCTAGGATAAAGAAAGCTGCAGTTTACTGCAATTTAATTTTCCTAGGTACCTTTCACTTATGCATAGAATCACAGACAGCAGAGGTTATGCCTTGTTCTTTCCCACATGAATTCTTGTTAAGAATCACAGACAGCAGAGGTTATGCGGGTTATGCCTTGTTCTTTATTACATGAATTCTTGTTAAAATTCATACACAGCAGAGGTTATGCCTTGTTCTTTCTGGACGTGGTTGTTAAGTGTCTTACAAAAATTTGAGAGTTGATTTGCAGGCCAGTTGTCAGATTTATTTATGCGGGTTATTGAAATTTGGGATCAGAGAAGTGTCAAATTCTATTTTCAAATGTTGAGTTCGTTATGGGTATTCATTCCCTCATGGTTTGAGTTGCTTTCACTGTTTCGCTTTGCTGCCTTGTGGTCCCTGAATTGACATTATTATGCTACCCCGAGGCTTGTCCTGTACGTATAACGCTGCCCACGGCTTTTTATTCTGTTAAAACCGAAATGGAAATATGCAAATCTCATGATTTCCCCTATTTTCCTTCGTATCATCTAATCTAATTACCTCTCAAAATCCTGTTCCCCTTCCCTTGCTAACCAAGCCCCACTTTCCCCAAACTCTTGCCATATAGATCCATGGAAGTCAAACATCTATTCCCCAAGATTTCTGCCAGTGTCATCGTAAAATCTCTAATCCATCTTTTGCCAACCAAGTGCTGCATTTACCAAATTCTTGCTCAAATTTCTGCTAATTTAATCTCTAATCTCTGATTGGTCTTGCTTTTTGAGTTATCTTCTACTTGATGCTTTAATTTTAATTGAGTTTGTTCCTTTTTCTTCATTCATTTCTCAAACATGTAATTGCTTGGTTAGCATTTATTATAAATGGTAAGGCATCATTGAAGCATGGCCTAGGGGGTCCCTTGGAGTCTTTAGAAAATTAAATCATTTAGATAACCTTTAGTGCTTCTTTGTGTCCAGAACTCTGAGGGGTGACATAATCCTAATTCGGAGTCATCAAGTACCAATACTTGTAGTCTGTAGCTACACCCAAATGATAACATCAAGTAGCAGGAACCGAAATGAATGAAGTATCATTTTAATTTTGGGTTACAATGAATGAACTATATTTTGGATTTCTTGAACTTGTCTATTTGAAGTGCCTTCCAATTTCAATTTTTATCTAAGGATAATTTGCTTCTTGTTTTGGTTTTGAAATCTCATATCTTTGCTGGCTGTCTCTGAAGGTGGCACAGTTAAGTAAATTGGAGCTTATTAATAGTATATTTTTTATAATGCAATGAAACAATGCCATTTTAGACTGCATAAGTGGCTGTAAATGGTTTTCTGGTTCATGGGGCAAGTGTAGACTCCTGGCCGTTACAGTAAATAGATAGATATGTTCTATGGTATAAGATTTCTTTTATTGAATGTTTGCCTCCTTTCTGTCTTAAAGGTACTCGCCGTGTTTACATTTGGCGCTGATCCTGATTTTCTGAAGAATAATATTCGTGTGAAGCCAGATCTCGATGCCCTTGGTTCTCTTGGCGACCTAGGTTGGTATTGTATAAGGGCAATCCTCTGGGCTGCCAACTATGAACTACCCAAAACAGTCATAGCCTTGCGTGATCCTCAGCTCAACGAAGCTGGTGTAATACTGTCTTGTGGAGCTTCTCTGTACTGGGAAGATGGAAAATCTGCAACCTTCCATTGCTCTTACTTATCAAATCTGACAACGGATATGACCGTTATTGGGACAAAAGGATCACTACATGTTCACGACTTCATTATCCCTTACCAAGAGAAGGAGGCTTCATTCTCTGCAGGTTCAGGGTCTAGCTTTAATGATCTTGTGACAGCATGGGCTGTGGAGCCAAGCGAGCATGTAGCAACCACAGAGCTGCCTCAGGAGGCTCAAATGGTGAGAGAATTTGCCCGTTTAGTGGGGGATATCAAATTTAAAAGCCTGAAGCCTGAGAAGAAGTGGCCAACAATTAGTAGGAAGACACAGCTTGTGGTGGATGCTGTGAAAGCTTCGATCGACAAGGGTTTCGAGGCTGTTCATGTTCAGGAGCAAGCGTCTGTGGCTGTTTTATCTGGACTTGATTATCTGAAGAAAAATCTGCTGGGGCAATCTACCTGAATAAACCATTCGGCAAATGATGTCATGTCTGCCTATGTTTGCGTTCATTTCTGCCATCCCTTCAAGAAAGGCATTGTTGTTGTTGCTTGGTTGAACGAAAACCAATTCCTTGTTTGTGAGCTGCAGACTGATGGGCTGTTAAAGGCAGGCCATGTTGTTCCTGTCTGGTTTTTCTCTAATGAGCAACCAGATATTTTTTGCTTTAGTTTTTTTAGTCCTGAACTTTCACTTTGTTTGCACCAATAAATTCACGTGGCAAATACATGTCACAGTTGGGAGTTGTGTTATGCATTATCAGAAAAAATGCATGGCCTTTGTTTTGTCTGTATCAAAAAATTATTTAATTTTGTTTTCCGATATGGTTATGAATAAGTCATAGTGTGTGAAAGTAATTGGATATCTGTGACCTGATTCAAAGTCTTGGTGCCACCGAGCCAGCGACGATGGGGGGAAGGGTAAATTTTTTTTTTTTAATAGATGAGGGGCATTTCAATAATTAACCAACAAAACATAATTTCACTTTAATCCCTTATTTCTGTGGTGTAATTTCAAAATTCTTTAACCCTTAAATACTATTATGTGGCTTGAGTAATCCTTTTTATTGATATTTTCTCAAAATTAATTACTAATAAATATTATGGAGAATTTGCATGGAAAAACTTAGGCCCACTTGATATATGTTATATAGTGATTTAAGTTTAACAGTTTTATTATGTACAGATATTTAAATATTTATATCATTTAAATCATTAAAATTTAGATTAATAATTTAAATAAATTTATTTATTTATTAATTTTAAGTTGAATATAAATTTATAATTATTAATTTAAATTTTAATGATTTAAATAATTTAAATCCATTATGATAACATTAGGATTCTTAAAAATTTAGATTCCAACAAAATGGTTAGAATTGAATTCCATTACATTGACGGTGGAATTGCCATGAATCATCTCCTGGACATTTTGGCCCTCACCAGCATCATTGTATCTGCCTATTGTCTTTCCACACCCAACTCCATTCCCACCATCACTATCCCCTCCATGAATCTAACCTTCATGGCCTCCTGCAAGCTTCTAGAGATGACTCAAAATGAGTTGTGAAACCAAGAGCGAGAGCTGTCGATCATTCGTTGGCGTCGGCAATGTTGGTGGTTGCAGGCGATGAGTGACGGCAAGATTGAAGTCGATTCTCCCTACCCAGCAACATCTTCACCTCGATTCCCCTTCGACCAGCGACGACTTCAACTTCCTCGATCTTCGATCTCAACTGCCATCAGTTTTCTTTGTTCAGATTTGTTGCGATTTTTGTTTAAATTATGCTTCTGAAACATTATATTTCTGCAATTTGTTCAGATATTCCATATTTCTACAACTTCTTTCTATTTGTTTCTTGTCTCGTGGTTGACGGTGGCATATTTTCTGGTTTGAGATTTTTTCTACATTTTTGCTCCGAATGTTCTGATGTTACGTTGTTGCTCGGAAATTTTTCCAGATCTAAGTTTTATTCTGGAGCCTTATAGAATCACTGGGGATGGAATTTTCAAACCCCCCCTCACCTCCTCCTTCTCACAATTCTCCTATGATTGGACTGATTGGGATGCTGGAGTCTCTCTCAGACCATTAGATGAGCGGATTGGTTAGCCAATAACGTTTTAGTGGTCCTTCGAAACTGCGACGAATGATGATTATCATCTCTGCTGGCCCTACTTCTGGATAACCAGTAACCCTTCATTATGATTATGATTTTTTTTTTAAATACAATTCTTATGATCATAAGTCATTATTGGTTGGCGCTACTCATGTGGCATCTATAATGGGTTACAAGTAACAAGCCATTCTCGATTTTTATGGCCCATTGTTTCAAAAAAAAAACCAAACCTGTCCCATAAAACAAAAAAAAAGTGAGGTGACTTCTTGTCAGTTTGTGAGTGAGTGTGACCGGTTCCGTTCGGTTCTTCATCCTTCCTCTCTCGCTCTTCTTACCACTCACCAGGACATTCCCGAAGCCGAAACGAACAAATACAAACAGGTCCCTTTCTAATTTCTATACAACAACATTGACCTACACGGTTGTGTTTTCCCTTCATTTGCCGATTTCTCTACACCACTCTTCTCCTCTATCTCTGCTAATTGCCAACTCCAATGGCGGAAACCACAATCCGATTCGGCATCCTCGGCTGCGCTGACATCGCCCGCAAGCTCTCGCGTGCCATCACGCTGTCTCCCAACGCCACCCTCCATGCCGTCGCCAGTCGCTCCGTCGACAAAGCCACCGCCTTTGCTTCTGCCAACGGCTTCCCTCCCGCCTCTAAGATTTACGGCTCCTACGAAGCTCTCCTTGACGACCCCGACGTCGACGCCGTATATGTCCCGCTTCCTACTAGCTTGCACGTGCACTGGGCCGTCCTCGTCGCTCAGAAGAAGAAGCATTTGCTGCTCGAGAAGCCCGTGGCTCTCAACGCCGCTGAGTTCGATAAGATCGTCGACGCCTGTGAATCCAATGGGGTGCAGCTCATGGATGGCACCATGTGGATGCACCATCCCAGGACCGCTAAAATGGCTGAGTTCTTGTCCGACGAGCGCCGTTTTGGTCGACTCCAAAAAGTACGCAACTTCGGTTGGCACTCTGTTCTTTTCTGATTCATTGTACCGATTCTTTTAGACTTTATTGATACACACTTAATTTTTTTAATGCGTGTTTTAGTTGCTGTTAGCATTCTTTCTCGTTTTAGGTCTTGCCTGAACTAGTTTCTGAGTTTGGTCAACTTTTTTTCTTAAAAAAAAAAATCTTAAAGCTTAGGAATACAGGAAGCCGTGACAAGATCTAATCTTACGATTGGGTTAAATTCATAATATAACAATAGACGGTGTGGTCGGTACCCATCGTTTTTTATGTGTGATGTTCACAGGTAAGATATGATGATATTGACTGTTAAAAACATCTATAGATTGTTTGTTGTCCTTTACCTGAACTAATTCATTGGCACGGCATCTAATATTGCTGGGATGATTGACTAGACAATACAGAGGCTGTATGTTTTTACGGGGATTGGGCCTATTAGTTGAGACTACAGTTGAATTGGAGCAAATAAAAATATTGGCGCTGAGTTTACGGATAACCTTCGGCTTTTTCACATTTCACATTACTATTTTACTTAGTTTCATCATGTGTATGGTTGTTTAGGTCCAGTGAAAACCCTTTTTTCTTCCTCTTGTTCCAGCGCTCTGTTCTGAAGTAGCATTGTGAGATCTTTTTCCATGGATCAGAGCTTAACATTACTCATTACTCTTTATTGTACCTTTTTTTTATTTTACATGTTTAATTCATTCTCCTCAGTCCTGAGTAACAACAGTTTAGGACTGGTGAACCTGCAGCTTACTGCAATTTAATTTTTCTTTAGTGCACTTATGCATAGAAACACATACGGCACAGATTGTGCCTTGTTTTTTTCTCACGTTACTTATTATTAAGACTATGGAATACATTGACAAATATGATCATAATTATCACAAATGTGATGAATTTTTTTTCGGTCCCCTAAATCTTGAAGAATGGGGAAACAGAGAGATGGTTGGGGGAAGAGATTTGATGAGAAAAACAGTGATAGGTATGTCTGCATTGTTGTGTGTAATAATAGGGCCAATGCCATTAATGAATAATTTCTGTTGCTGGTTTAAATTCTTGTTAACATTATGTGATACATCTGCAAACATGATGATAATTATCACTATTGCAATAAATTTTGTTTTTGTCACCTCTATCCAGAAGAATGGGGAAACAAAGCGATGGGTGGGGGGAAGAAGCTTAGCGAGAAAACCAGTGATGGGTTTGTCTGCATAGTTATGTGTAACAGTAGGGCCAATGCCATTGATATATAGTTTCTGTTGCTGGTTCGCTGTTTGAAATTCATCTATTTTCTTCTTGAGTTTAAGCATTTTCTTGTGCTTCATTTATTTAATTTTTGAAAGACTATTTACTCATCCATGTAGTCTGTTCTTATTGTTGTGTACATTATTCCCTGTTAATTGTCTTATTTCCTACCTGTCGTGCATTGGCTAATGTATAAAATCTTTTATTATTGGAATTTGGAAGGTCTTGCTTGTTAATTGCATTCCATATTGTTGATGCAGGAGCATTTCCATTTGCATTCTGTTTTAAAAGCTAAATCATTAACTTTTCTTTTCTTTTGATTTGATTGAATTGAACTGACATGTTTGGAGACTTTGTAATCAGCAGTATTTCTGAGTGGATTCAAATCTAGTTAGTCCCTTTCTGTTGTTCCAATCCCATCCTTTTCCATTTTTAATTTTAATTCTTCACATGGTTATCATCTTGGCTGTGTCTACGTCATCATTATTGTCTTATCAAAATTTGATAGCCGATTTGCAGTCCACTTGTTAGATATGTTTATGTGGATTATTGAAATTTGGTATCAGAGAATTGTCAAATTCTATTTTCAAAAGTTGGATTCATTATAGGTACTTCTCCGTGGATTGGGTTGCTTTCACTTTGCTGCCTTGTGGTTCCAGAATTGGCATTATTATGCTACCCTGATGTTTGTCCTGTATGTATAACGGTGCCCACTGATTTTAATTCCGTTAAATCTCAAATGGAAATATGCAACTCTCATGATTTCCCCTATTTTTCCGTTATGTCATTTAATCTAATTACCTCTCAAAATCCTGTGGCTCTTCTCTTTCTTACCAGACCCCACATTCCCTAAACTCTTGTCTAGTAGGTCAATGGAAGTCCAACACCTATTTCCTCAGTAGCTTCATCATAAATTATTAACTAGCCAAGTCCTGCATTTACCTAGTTATTGCCCAATAATGGTCTTGCTTTATAAGTCATCTTGTACTGGTGCGTTATTGCGTAATTGGATTTGTTCCTTTTTGTTCATTCATTTCTTAAACATATGATTGCTTGGTTAGTATTTATAATTTGATTCCTATTTTGGTTCTTAAATCTCATTAATTTGCTGACTGTTTCTGAAAGTGGTACTGTTAAGTATACTGGAGCTCATTCATAATATATTTTCAATAGATGCAATGAAACAATGCCATTTCAGATTGCAGAACGGGCTGTTAAATGGTTTTCTGGTTCATGGGGCAAGTGGTCATTATAGTGTCAGGGGAGAGTGTGTTTTTGTGGTAAATAGATAGATATGTTTTCTGCGGAGGTTATTTTCTTTTATTGAATGTTTGTCTCCTTTCTTTCTTAAAGGTACACGTGTTATTTACGTATGGTGCTGATCCTGATTTTCTTAAGAATGATATTCGCGTGAAGCCGGATCTTGATGCTCTTGGTTCTCTGGGAGATATAGGTTGGTATTGTATAAGGGCAATCCTGTGGGCTGCCAACTTTGAACTGCCTAAAACAGTCATAGCCTTGCGTGATCCTCAGCTCAATGAAGCCGGGGTAATATTGTCTTGTGGAGCTTCTCTTTACTGGGAAGATGGAAAATCTGCAACCTTCCATTGCTCCTTCTTGTCAAATTTAACAATGGATATAACTGCTATCGGGACAAAAGGATCACTACATGTTCACGACTTCGTTATCCCTTACCAGGAGAAGGAGGCTTCATTTTTTGCAGGTTCAGAATCTGGCTTTAATGATCTTGTGACAGCATGGTCTTCAGAGCCAAGCAAGCATATAGTAACCACAGAGCTGCCTCAGGAGGCTCAAATGGTGAGAGAATTTGCCCGTTTGGTAGGAGATATTAGATTTAAAAGTCTGAAGCCTGAGAAGAAGTGGCCAACAATTAGTAGGAAGACACAGCTGGTGGTGGATGCTGTGAAAGCATCGATCGAAAAAGGTTTCGAGGCTGTTCATATTCAGGAGCAAGCGTCTGTGGCTGTTTTATCTGGACTTGACTATCTGAAGAAAAATCTGATGGGGCGATCTACCTGAACAAGCCATTTATCAAGTGATGTCATGTCTGCCTGTGTTATGTTCATTTCTGCCATCCCTTCGGGAAAGGCATTGGTTTTGATTGGGTGAACGGATACCAATTCTTGTTTGGGAGCTGACCTAATGAGCTGTTTAAAGCATGTCATGTTCTTCTTAAGTTTTTTTTTAGCCCTTAACTTTTCCCTTGTTTGTAGCAATAAATTCGATGTGGCACATACGTGTTATGGCAGGCTGCGGTTGTGCCCGATCAGAAAAAATGGATGGCCTGTCGGTCATAATGTGTTTTCTTGATCTTTCCTCGTTTCCTCTAACCTTGTCAAGTTGCGTTTGAGTCTTGGGAGTTGAGAAAGTAAAAGGAAGAAGATGAGGTTAATTCATGTGAAGCATACTAATTTTTTGGAGATATATAAAAAGAAAGGGAAAGTAGCAGCCAACGTTGATTATAAAATTATGACAAATCACGTTTTTTGCCCCCAAAAGAAGTTCTTTCAATATATATATATATATATATATATATGTTTTTTTTTTTTTCAGCGATGAGACGAGAACATATTTAATCCATTATAATGGCGGATTTCATCATGAGCCCATGCTTTTCTCCTTAGATTTCATCAGAAGGAGGAGCTCCTGCAAGGCTGCTCATCCATGAGATGAGTGCCGAATTTGGACGCTTCTAAAACAGTGCCTTTCCGTTTCTCCCAGTTGTCATTGGCTCATTGGATCAACATCTTGTCATTTCTTCCAAATTCTCCGTTCCTTCTTCTTTCTCGTTTGAAAGAAGATCAGAGATTCAGAAAGCTTCCTTGAAAGTGCATAAAAAAATTACATTTAAGTCCTACAGAAAAAATTTTGTCATGATAAAACCTTATAAAATTTATAAAATACTCTTAAATTTTAAACCATGTGCATTAATAATTTAGCAACAAGCATTTACAACTTACATGTTGTCCAATTATAAATGTCATTTATCAAGTTGTAATTGAATAAGATTTAAGATTTAAAAATATTTTATAAATTTTATAAAATCTTTTGATAATTAAATTTCTTATATGAAACTTAGATGTAACTTTCCCAATGCATTCACATTGTGACATTTCAGTATAAAATTTGCAAATGACAATGAGTTAGATTAAAAATCTACAAATTTTTTTTGGCCAAAGTTTAAAAGGCTACAATTAAAAGTCTGTTTGTTTTAGCTTATTTCACAAAAAAATAACTTATTTTTTTAAAAAATTATTTTTTAAATTTTTATTATGTTTGTTTAAACTTTTAAAAACAATCAAAATCTTAAAAAAAAGAAGAAGAAGAAGAAGAAGAAGCAAATTTTTAATTATTTTTAGAAGTTACTGAAAGAATCCAAAAAAAAGAGCAAATTTTTGATTATTTTAAAAAGTTATTTTTAGTAACTTTTAAAAATAATCTAATATAATAAATAAGAAAGTATGTTTGAAATGGGTGAGATATGCAAAGATATCATAAAATTTTAAAATAATATAATAAATTATTTTTACAAATCAAAAATCAAGAAAAACATTATAAAATTAAAAAATAACTTACTAATAATCACTTTTTTATTATTGTAACCAAACATAAAATAACATTTGCTTTGATAAATTCTCATTTTATAAAATATTTAAATTACTTAAAAATTACTTTTTTTAATCCTAAATAAACAGGCCATAAATTATGAAATCATGTTTAAACACTTCTTCTCTCTTTGCACACGTATGTGGGCCCTTTTTCTAAGAAATGTAAGTGATAGTTATGGAAGCCAATAAAGCTAATGTTGACCAATTATAATAATAGGATCTTCATGTTATGATTATAATAAGAGTATAAGGCTATTACTCATGCTTGCTAAAATTCCAATAATAGGATCTTCATGTTATGACGGTGTTTTGAATTTATTACTGCCCTTACTAAATTATCTTTAAAAATTACAGTGCATTATTTTAAGGTATTTTGGTGATCACAAAAAAAATCATTTGATCTTTCAAATAACTTTTAAATTTTTAAATTCTTTAAAATTAATTTACAAATTTAGAACCAGTAATTAGATGTCATTTTCTCATAGTTTTTTTTTTTGGTCTAAAAGAGCTAATTTTATTAATCACAAAAAAATAGGTACAATCACTAATAACTAAAGCCAACAAACACCAAAAACAAAAAAAAAACTTAGAATACAGCGGGACACACAACTCACAACAACAAATAGAAACAAGAAACAACTAAGCAACAACAACAAATCACTAAAACAAGTTAACAAAGTTAACAAATACCCTCCTCATTATGAGAGGAGCTAATAGAAGTAGAAGAAAAACTAGGAAAACTAACAGCTTCCACATTACCAAGTAGAAACACAGGCAAAGAAAATATAGCTATAAAGAGCTATCCCATCAGTCACATTTTCTTAAAACCTATCATTACTAAAAAAAATTGGAAGCTTCATTATCTTTGTGATCCACCGAGGAGAAATAAACATCCTTGCATTTTTTTTTTTTTGGCTAGCTTCTAGAGCATTTCCAATCATAATCATAATTCAGTTTACCTGGAGGTACCATTTTTAAGGGCGTGATAATGTTAGATTCTTGAGAACTTTTTTTTTTTTAATTTCTAGCTGGTATGAGAATTTTCCCACAATTATAATTTGAGTCCTGCTCTCAAGTCCAAATCCCTACATACTATACCCCAAAAAAAAAAAATCACAATATGGGAAATTTATGTCAATGAATGACGGACCGCCTAATTAATAATGATCAGATGCAAAATCCTGAGGTCACATGAAAAACAATAAAATATTAATATATATGAAAATGACATCTGATCCGTCTATTTCAAGCCATATTGTAACTTCCACACGCTTTATTATATTCCCTTCAATTTTTTATTATTAGAGAAAATATTATTTTTAACTCATATTTTTTATACATAAAAACATCTATTTCAATAAATATCTATTATATATTTTTTAAATTACTTTTTAAAATTTATATTAACAAAAAATAATTAATGTATAGTTATATTAATCAATATAAGACATTTTACTTCACTTTTTTTTATTTTCAAACATAATTTTTATAATTAATTAATTTTTTTTAAATTGTGTAATTCAATTTTTTCTCATATATATCAAAACGGAAGGAGTACCACATATACATGTTATTTAATAAAAAATTCTTCTTTGCAATCCAACCTCTCACAAAGTGTAACCTATAATTGCTTTACCCACTGTTGGAGTTTATAATTACTAAGACATTGTTATATTCTAGGGTAGATAACCATTCTTTATACATAAGATAATACTCCCTTTGTTTTAAATTATAAAATATTTTTAAATAAAATATTATATATTAATAAAGTTTATTAAATATATTTTACAACCTTATTTGTTCAAGACAAAAATATAAAATTTTAAATATGTCTTTCATTCAATATTCCATTGATAAAAGAATATTGAAGAGAGAGAATATATGAAGAGGATAATATTGAAAAAGTATCATTAATAAAATTTTATATTTATCAAAATATCTTATATTTTAAAATACTAAAACTTTTCTAAAAATGTTTTATAATTTAGGATAAATGGAGTAATACAAGTTCTGAAAAATATATAGTGTGTTTGGATTTTCATCAAGCATTTACTCCAATCCATGTTATATAAAAAACAAAAAACAAAATTGTCACACCCCAATACTAATGGTGTGACCGACACAAAACATGAGATAAACTCATATTTCATAAGCCTCAATTATCTAAATATTAAACTATAATAGTGATAGATATTTATACTAATCAATAAATCATATAATATATATATATATAATTACAAAGTTTGTAAAATTTTAAATATTTGGTAAAAATTTTGACAAAATCTCCTCTGTAATTAGAACATCCCAAAATTTCTATAGCCAATAAACTTGTCAGCAGATCTAGAAGAGGAGCTTAACTCCACACTAGTAAATTACATGATAACAAAAATAGGATCAGAACCTAATTACAGTATATGTGGAGCACTAACTACCATTGTATAATATAATGACTATTTACATTAAAATAAACAATTGAAGCATGCTTCAACTGTCCAAAAATGCAATAGAGCCCCTCAATGATTTACAGGAAGTACATGATCAACTACATTATCTGATACTAAAGAAATTTTTTGATGAATAACATCCCAACAACAAATAATAGAACATAAATAAAATGAAAAGTTTGAAATAGTTATGTAAGTTAAAGAACAAAAATTTTCGTAAAAATTCAATAAACTTCATAATAAAATGTCTTTATAAAAATTCAAGAAAATCTCAAATCATTAAACTATCATAACAAATGATAATATTGCTTGATTTCAAGAAAGCACATAAATGAAATAAATATTTATAAATAAATTATTGAATAAAAATCAATAGAATATAAAATCATCAAATAATTGAATTCATAATTATAGGGACTTATCAGAACAATTAATAAATGTGGATATACAATCTACGAGGGTAAATAACCAAACGCGATTTATACCACAAAAACAAACGTGAACACACAATCCACGAGGGTAAGTAATCAAACGCGGCTGAAGTTACGAAACAAACGCGAACACATAGTCCACGAGGGTAATGCTAACCAAATGCGGCTTGAAGCCATGAAACAAACGTGAGTACGATACTCACGAATAACCATTCCTCTGTTCTACATGCGTTGGCCATTGCACGGGGCTCCTCCTATAAACACCCTACTAGCTAGGTGTACCATGACGTGCCAAAAGCTAACGAAACTGTCATTAACAACTAGTATTCTGTATAAAGTCCCTTTTTAAATTCACTTTCAAACATGCGATAAAATCATCATTGGTAAAATATAATTTTCATTTTCAATATCAAACTCACATGAATCATTTTTCCATAGCAATTCAATGATTTTCAGAATGAAATCCCATAATCAAAGTCCAAACTTGTATTTATTGAATAATTGACATTTTAAAAGTGCTAAAGGTAATTTCATAAAATAAAGAAGTTTAATTAACAAATTATCCAGTATTCATATTGTTGTTATAAAATGATTTCCATAAAAATGTAATATTTTAGTAAAGAAAATTTTATTAAAAAATCAATTGTGACGCTATCCACTTACTTGAGAAATTCTCCAATAATTCTAAAGCTTGTTTTACTTCAACTTCTCACTTTAATTCCAACAAATGCCATTAACTCCATAACAAATAAATCACAATCCTAAAATCATTTTTATCACTCTTTTCTTAATGTAAGTAAGCATTTAACTATCAACTTCCAACAACTAG